AAATTTGTATAATTTAAACTAGGATGATCCTGAAATGACCTCCCTGTGTGCACTGCCAAATGTGCATAACATGAGATGCACATTTATTTTAAATGTGACATATTTATTTGGGGCAAACACTTCTCTCAGCATTCTGAAATATGTAGCACAAAGATACTACTATGGAGTGAAGAAGAGTTAAAACAGTGCCCACAAAATGAGCAGGAATCCATAGAAAAGTAACCAAATCCTCCCACCTTAAAATTAAATTGTTACACATTTAAAAATGTTTCATAAAGACAAAAGAAGTTACTGTATTTTACTTTTGTGTAGTTCCCAAATTATGATTTTGGTTGCAGTTTAATTTAGATTTAAGCTGTCAGTTGCATAACATGTTCAATTCACATGTTTTTATAATTCTGTGTAGGTCCACAAGGAGATCCTGGATTTCCAGGTCCTGCTGGTGATATGGGGTCAGTTGGACCAATTGGACCTGCAGGCCTGCTAGGAAGACCAGGAGATGATGGAACAAGTAAGAAAAGTAGGGAATAAAATTTGAACTATATACCAATGGGAGAGAAAGCAGCTAAAAAAAACCCAACCCTGTTCTTTTTTTCTTGCTTGATGGCAAGTCACCAACAGTAAGGATTTGAGCTCTACAGAGAGTTCAGTAAAAATATTAGTTCAGCACTTGGTGGCCAAAAAAGAACCAAAATGGTCCAAACAGAAGTTTAGGAATTACTAGAAAAGGAACAGAAGACAAAGCAGAATGCTACCATGCACTGTAAATCCACAGTATGCCTGTATCTGGAGTGCTGTGCTCAAAAACTCTATTCTCCATCTCAAAAAGATATGAAGGAAGGTGATAAGGATGACTTTGCTCTATATAAGGAACTAGAATAACTGGGATGTCTGGAAAAGAGATAATGGGGAGAAGGAAAATAAGCATTTGAAGGTCTAAAGCAGGAGCCTCTTTTCCTAGGAATCCTGGAAAACCTAAAGATTTAGATTTAAGTCTTTGTGATATAGAAGCTCTTCTTCAGGACAGTTCTGAACAGTCTGTAATTTCCTCCTTGATATCTTGTAGTAAATGATACTATTAAGCTGTACGGGCCATATATTGTTATTTTCATTATAGGTCTGCCTGGCCTGCCAGGAGTAAGTGGGGCACCAGGACCTCAAGGTTTTCAAGGTGACCCTGGTTTCCCTGGAACAGGTGAATCAATCCCAGGAAGACCTGGATTTCCTGGACCACCAGGCCTACCAGGACAGCCAGGAAGACAAGGCTTACCTGGACTACCCAGTAGGTTCAGCAGCAATTTATATGGCAAGAATATCATTCTGCATATTAATAGATTCATTGCTTTTGTTGGTCCTACAAAAAACGTAGAGGTGAAAAGTGCATTTTGACAGATATATCAAACTTTACATGTGATGTAGGAAACATGTTTTTCTTGTTAGTTGTCAATCAGCAAGGTTTCAAGATTTTCATAGTTTCCTGGGTGATTTAAATCAACAAAGTAACATGTCTGAAAAACATCCCTAAACATATATCACCTGAAGTCAAAAACACAGCAAACTGGGGAGGAAATCCAAATCAGCATCCTTTAGTAAAGAAACAAGAGCTGTGAAGTTTTACAGTGGAAAAAGGAAGAAGTAGTGGCAATGAAAAAACAATGTGTCAACATCAGCTCTAGCCAGACTGACTCTTGTAGTATCTTCTATAAGCAATGACTTGTAAAGCATTTCAGAAAATCTTTAGCTTTTCACATGAGGATAACAAGATAAGGGAGAGGATAACACATGACCTAAGCTGTGGAAACAGTCAATCTGATTTATACTAGCTGTACCATTTGTTTTTTTCAAAGGTATAATCTGTACTGACAGAGGGATCCCTGGAGAACCTGGAGCAAAAGGTCGGATAGGCCTTCCAGGAAGAAAAGGTGAAAAAGGACAAAAGGGTAAGTATGCCTGGATAGCAACAGTTTGAATAGGAGACCTTTACCAGATATATTAGACCTAAATTTGCAAGAAGTTTATGGTAATTTGGAGGATAAGGCCCATCAAAGTGTGGAGTTAAATGGCCTGCTGGTGTTGGGGCTTCTATGTCAGTAGAGTCATGTCAGTGCAGCAGTTATTCAGCACTGTAAAAAGAGACTGATATGCTTCACTACTTTGAAGGCCATAATGAGATAAAATGGTCTGTGCACTACTTGCAAAGAAAAGAAAAAGGGCAGTGTAATTTTTTGTGTATTAATTTTGCAACTCTTTCAATGTAATTTTGACACATTCACGTAGGAGATCAAGGCCTCTGCTCATGTAGTGCTGGTCCCCCTGGTCCCCGTGGTATGCAAGGACCTCCAGGTACTCAAGGAAAGAAAGGACAAATGGGATACCCTGGAAGACATGGAGAAAAGGGCGACACAGGCTTATCTGGTGCAGTGGGATCACCAGGACTCCCTGTGAGTAGTTCTCATGAGCTTCAGTAAATAAATAACGTCAAATTACCAGTTATGCAGGAGGCATTTAAGCAGAGTGGTGTAGGAACTGCCCTGGAAAACTATTTAAAAGTTTTTTCTACATTTGCTTATTATAGTCTTGTTGGAGGATGCATTTTATTAGCTTCTATCTGATTTCCCTTGTGACAGTCGGCAGAGTTTTACACTGAGGGACAGAATCCCATGCTGTGGTTGTGGGGTGGTCAGGAGGCTTAGGAAAGCTGGTGAATGTTCATCTTGTTTTGTTTTGACTTGTTTTTCTTTTAGTTTTGAATACCCATTGTTTTTCTCGAAGACATTGTAGATGCACAAATTGCTTCACTGAAGATGATTTTTCAGTTATTTCAAAGGAAAGCATTTCCAGCAAAACCTTATCACTGCAAAAAATTGCATGATGTCAGCAGGTCAAGACAGATTTTGCCAACATCTGCTTGCGGGGAGGGGGTAGGTTCTGAAGAAAAGGAAGCCTTGATTTTATTCAGGCATTTCAAGTCTTTTTTTAATTCCTTTTTTAGAAATTAATTGAAAAGCTTAATTTATTTGATGTGCTTAATTTATTTTATGAAGCAGTCTGAAGATAATGTAGAGTCTTTCACTTCCACGGAGTCTGAAAGGCATTGCTATTTGTTAGTGTTTATCCCTTTACTGTTCCATATTACTTTATAATCTCCCATTTTCAGTCACTACTCACCCAAAGTTTGTTCTCCTCAAGGATCAGCCACTACAGGCAATGCCTTGTCTCTCTCTGACATACATATTAGCAATGAAGCTGAAATGGAATAAAAATGTTACCCTTGATTTAATAGTTCTGAGAAGGAAAAATTACTATAACCATCAAAATAAAGACTTTTTATTTGCTTGAATACCTTTCTTGCAATGTAACAATTTCATTTTAAGTTCCTCAAGAACAAAAACTGAGTGAACTTTTTGGTAGTAAAGATTCTGAGTACTGGAATAATTTGACATCAGCATACAATGGTCATTTTTTTTCCTAAGACCAGTTCATTTCTGTTTTAACAAATCTGACATCCAGGTTTTCATGGAAAAACCCTATAAAGATTTTTCATGGCAAGGTGGGGGGAAGAAAATCATTAAGAAATATCTAAAAGGTACATTGAGGTCAGATGTTTCTTTCTACTTCAATATTGGCTCTCAGCAGGATTAACAAACCAAACAAATTTGAGCTAGAGACCTATATGGGTGATGCTTGTTGCCTAACTCAGTGAAACTAGCTATTACTTTTGGAAACAGACTTATTTTCTTTAATGTGCTTCTTATAGCTTATCTTATTCCCCACAGTGAGCAATAGTTCAAAACACCAATTAATCTAACTGCTTTAGGAATACATTACAAGATGATATATTGGACTTGCTGTGATTTTGTTCCACTTGCTCTGGTCTGGCATGTGGACTGTACATCCAGGATGCTGCACACCAAAATGATGTCAAATAGAATTTTTTTTAAATATACTTTCTTGTGTGTGAGAGCAATTTCTTTGAAAATATAGCTGGATATGCTTGGCTTTATGACTGTTCCAATATGGAGTTTTTTTGTTCGGGTTTTTTGAGGTTTTGTTTTGTTTCAATAGCAGAACTCTTTTTCACATGAGGAATTGCTTAAAAGTTTCCAGAACATTTTCTTTCAAAAGAAAACAAAACCATTGTGAGACTGAAGGAAGGAGTTGGAGGGGCTCTGTCATTCTAGTTCCAATGGTTTCATTACAAGCTTTGCATTTTTTTTTATTTTTCTTTTCTTAAAATCCTTTTACATGAGTGGATTATGTGAGATTTCAATCTTTTTTTTACTTTTGAAAGTATGCTTTAGCCCTTGTGGTTCTGAAGTAAAGCTTGAAGCCTTGTCCTGAACATTCTGGTGTTCTTATGTTCTTTAAGTGAGAAACAAGGATGAAGTACTCAGTTTGGAAAGAAATAATTCACTTTGATACAGAAGTGCTACATATATATTTTTTTCCATTTTTCTGCTTTTTTCTTCCCAACTATCTCATTTTGCTTTTGAAACACTAAGAACTGGTCACTGCCAACTTAAAGATCTAGACATCTTAACAAATAGTCACTGCTAGTTTCAGATACACCACGTTTTTCAGAAGTCTCCTGACTGTTATACAATTGTCATGATGTACAATCACTTTATAATTTGTATTTTCTCCACCTATTTCTTAATGAAAGATTTTCAGTAACAGGAAACTGGCTAAATAATACCCAGTTTTTCAGCCTTAGTGACCTTTTACTTCTGTGTAAATTTCACATGGTAAAATATATTTACCCACATGTACTGTTGCAAGATCAAAACCTCACTAATGATGATACGCAAACCGCATTCTGCTTGAAGAACTAAGAGCACAAATCAGCATAAAACTATAGAAAAGCACTTCTTTTCCCCTCTAAACCTGTCAAGTCATAGATTCTTCTGACAATACCAAGTACCTAACTAGACATAGATGAAATTTTTTTATTAGCAGCTTTGTGGGCTTTCACTCAGCAAAAAAGCATCACTTATCTACTGCCATGTTCACTTCTGGGAGGACGGCCTCATCCAGCAGTCACCACACTCCAGGGATTCCCTTTCTGCGTAGCCTTAGTGGATTGTGGGTTGAAGTCTGCAGTGGGAAGAGTTTGTGAATTGTTTGCATCTTAATATTCTTGCATTTACAGCCACAGCTGTATACAGCCATGGACCCAATTCTTCTAGCATTACCATTTCTTATAGTTGTCTATCTGTTCATTTGGCAGTCAGGCTGAAAAGGCCAGGTGCCATTCACACACCTCTTCATAGACGTCAAAGAGATAAGTCTTCCGTTTTGGCTTGTTCCTTTAATTGGTCTGGTTTCAGGAAACAATGCAAGAGCAAGACATAGATATCTGATTTTCCCCTCAATTCCCACATTGATTCCTTGCTGGAGATAACTGACAACCTTTTTTTTTTTTTTGGCAATGGTAAGGGGACACCTGGTTCTGCTGGACAACATGGTGAAAAAGGAGAGAAGGGTGACCCAGGAAGAGTTAGAATAAAAGGTAAACACACATTTTATCATCTGCCTTTTTGTTTCCTATGCAATGCCTAGGCAACAGTGTGAGAAAACCATATTATCTACTCTTTAATAAAGTCACTAGTTTAGTAAGTTACTGAAGCCCAGAAGTCATGTATATCTAAACTGCTTTCTTGGTACCATCTCATTCATCTTCTGCTTGCTAAACACAAGATCAACACCGTGTTTTGTGTTTTTTACTCTATAGTTGAGCCATAAAACAATTTTAACAGCTTGTTATTAATGCTGACAAGTGACTTTTCATGTCATGTGATTGATAATCAGTCTCACAGAGGTCTGTATAGCAAAGACTAAGCAGAATATGATTATTGTGAAAGCATGAAGAACTACTATTGTACTGAAGCCACCTCCTGAAGTGTCATATGCCAGTATCCCAGCTGTTATCTCAACTTAAACCATCAACATCCTTCTTGCGAAAAACTCAAAGTCTCAAAAGCTACTCAGTTTCCTGCTCCTATTTCTAAAAATTACTCTTGACCAGACATTGAAGAGAAACAATAGGCCACCAGTTGCACAACTGAAATTCTTGTAATTAAATAGATCAAAACCTCTCCACATTTATGGTTATGATTTGCAAAAGCAAAAGCAGCAGAGAACAACAAATTACAGCAATCTGATGGCAAAGCTTAGTTAGAAATGCTAAACTAATTATTCAGGCAAAAGATGCCCATCTTATTGTTTGTGAAAAGTTAGCTTAGCTTTGGATCCCTGTGTTTGTTTACAGATGTTGGAGCAGAGCAAAACATTTGCTGTTTATTTGCAAAGGATTTCTTGACATAGCAAAATGAATCTTTGGGTTAGAATAGTTTTATTGTACTTTATGCAAAAATTACATTTTCATAAATATCAGTGCAAGAGAAATCTAGGGATAAAAAAAGAAGAAACCTTTTGGGAATATTGATATAAATATTCTGCATCACATGGCATCGCTATATCCTGATTTCACTGAAATCAACAATAAAATTCTGAGTGATTTCCATAGCAAAATATTTTCACTCTGTATATAGCATGAACAAAAGCCACATTTCTTGTGGTACCTGTAAACATGTCTTTTACAGAAAGACCAAGTTGTTCCATGAGGTGTCCAACTACATACTGCCTTCCTAAGCCTAAAGTACCTCAGTAAGGAAATGTGAATTCAAGAACTGGAAATTATCATACAGATATGACATATGGTTACCCAGCATTTACCTGAGCGGAAATAAAAAACTCCCAACACTTACTGCAAATATTATACTTCATTTTTTTCAAATTGTTTTAAGGAATAAAAGGTGAAAGAGGTCCTACTGGGGTTCCAGGATTTCCAGGCCAAAGAGGTAATGATGGCAGAGATGGGGAACTAGGATTGCCTGGGGAAAAAGGAGCCGAGGTATGTTTGACTTTCTCAGAGTTTTTTTCCCATTTCAGTTAACCTATTATCTTATGAAAAGGCTAGCTGCTTAATGAAAACTACCATTTTATTCCAAATCCCTAGTAGATTAATCACTTTTATCATTTCATGTTAGCCTAGATCAAAAATCATAGTTTTTATGCATTGAAAAATTATTTCCTTGGAAGTATTACTGTTTATTTTGATATTCCTGAATATAATTTCTGCATATTCTGTGTGCCAATATTATGGGATCAAGAAGAAAAAAAATCTCCACAAAACTCCACCCTTTGTTCCTATTGCCTTTGAATATTTAAAACTACTAATATCATCCATGTAGTCACTTAATTGTAGAAGAATGGTTTCTCCAGATAATTCTCTAATGTGGCTTTTGATAATCAAAGAGAGGAAAGAAATTAGGTCTTAGTATTTCTTATCAACAATTTCTTTCTTTTAGGGTGATTCTGGAGTATCACTGCCAGGTGATAAAGGATTCCCTGGGGTTCCAGGACTTCCTGGGGTAAAAGGACAGATGGGATTGCCTGGTTTGGGGTTTCCCGGCCCTCCAGGAGTCAGAGGTAGCCCTGGAGAGTTTGGGGATACTGGTAACATTGGGCTACCTGGTCCAAAAGGCCAGAAAGGTAATTTTGAATGTTTGCATTAAGAACCAAATCACAAAATGCATCTTTGGTAGCATCCATTACAGTTTCATGTGTATTATAAACAGTGTTACTCATTTATAGTGAAAATCAATTTTGGCAAGCTCAGTGGTAATGTGAAGTATGGACACTGAAAGGTACAATACTGTCAGCATTTAGCAGCAGACACTAGTGAGAATATGAATTGCTAGGGGCCTTAAACCTGCAAAGTGCCACTTGCACACTATCAGAGGAATTATTTTCTGGAGTAAAGAGTATTCCTGACTGTAAGGATTTGCAAGGCAATGCTTTTTTGCTAAAGGAGCAGGAAAATACAACTCATACTTAACACTTGGTCTGTTTTTTGGTTATAAAATAATCCCTACCAAAATAAAAAAATCTACACTCATAGCAATATGTATGAATCAGAAATGTACATATAATTGAGATGAAAATAGAATTTCTTTCTTGCAACAGAGACTATTGTAAAGACAAATTTCTGTGACAAGTAAAAAAAAATTTTTAGTCTTTACAGAATACAACTGTATTACAACAATTTGAATCATTACCAATATTCTATACAAAATAAGTGTCAGGAAAAATATATTTTAAGACTCTCCATCAAACCTTAAGTAATATGGAAATAACAGTGTGCATAAACAGTCCCTTCTCTTTACCTTTGCATATCTAGTTGGTTAGTTCTACAGAAATATTACAGTAAATGTTCAGACTCCATTTTTTCTAAAATCAAATAGGCCAGTTTCTTTCTCCCTCTTGCTTCAGGTGAGACTGTCTGCATTACGTTATCATACCCTGGAAATCCAGGTCCCCCAGGTTTTAAAGGTGTTCAAGGTATGTTTAACAGATGGGAGAATTTTTTGTTTTAATTGAAATGGAGTTTTAAGTTGGTAATTAAAAAAAGAAGCTATCCTAAAAAGATACACTTTCCTAGTTTCTCAACGGATACATGTCTCAAAATGTAAAATGCAAATACACAGGAATATACTCATCTAATAGAATCAAGGGCCAGACAGCTGCAGTTTGCATGATCAAAAGGTGTGCAGGCTGCTTCCATAGAAATGACTAAATGAAGGTAGCATGAAACTCTGCCCTGCTTCAGTTAAAATGCATGAGAGAGTCTGCAAAGTACGCAGATGGCTAGAGTTGGGTAAGACCTAGAATATGTACATCTGGATACTGGGAGAAAAGGTGTGCAAGGCAAAGATATGCTCCAAGACTGTAATTTCTAAAACTATATTGCTCATGGCAAGTTACAATTGAGCCCTAAAATCTGAATAATTATTACCATTACTTCAACTTGTTCAACTTAATTTAAATTCAAAGAACTCATCCAGGAACTGGCAAAATGTTGCTTGTGATCACCTCCAGAACATTTGAAATACCCCAGAAAATCCTGATCAGAACAAATGGAGATACTGGATTTTCAAGCTGCTTAATATGGTAATGCACAGCTCCCTGACATCAGTATTGTGGGTGGTAGCTAGAATTTATACAGAGATGAAAGAACAGGGATTAGCATATTGAGCTCATCTGCACCATTCCAGAAGCAGAGTGTAGGACAGGAGAATATAAGAATTTGAGTTTACACCTGTCATTCACTAGGTTAATATTGATGTCCTGTAACATTAAAATGTTATAAGAGATACTTTTTTTATTTTTCTAATTTACTCTGGTGATTTTGCAGTCTGCTGTTTATGGATTAGGGAACAAGTCCATTTAGAGAAACAACAACCATGCCTTTGGTTGTGACTTGGGTGGTAGCTCTTGCCCAAAGTGTTAGAAGGATATGAAATCCACTTGTCTTCAAACTACATGAATTTACATGGGATAAAGATATTGTTTCCTTAGATCACACATTTTAGAGCTCTGTCAGGTTTTTTTTTTACATATTTTCTTTCTATTCCCAGGACCAAAGGGTTTAAAAGGACTTCCCGGTCATCCTGGACCAAATGGCTTTGATGGGCAAAAAGGCCATCGAGGCAGGCCAGGAGCAGGAATCCCTGGGCCAGAAGGTGAATTGTGCTTTTCGTAATCCAGGAGACCTGCTGGTCAAGCTGTAATGCATACATACAGGGTAAGGTAGCTACCATGGTAGAATAGAATAGGAAGCACATTTCAACGACAGCTAATGGAAGAGGAATCTTTACCGGTTTCGCTTTCTTTCCTCCAGCATTACAGGTGCTGCAATAATCTAAAGTTCAGTGTCCAGAGAGGAAATATTTTCGGAAAACTGAGAACAATTAGTATCATTTTAGCAAAGGGATTGAACTGGACAAGAGTGACAGTACACAAGATAGATGCTGCCCCAAAGAAAACCACTGTCACTTCCCACATGAATAATTACCCCCTTAAGTCCTCATGTATCATTAACTCTAAATGAGAAACCTGAAATTTAACGTATGATGTTATTTTTCTTTGCATAGTGATAATTTAATTCTGGTTTAATTTGCATTATAATATTCCACAGTTTTGGAAAAAAAAAACCCAAACAAACAAAAAAAACCCCCACTACTTCCAAATTATGCCCATTTTGAATTCAAAAATCATACCAACAGGCTTTCGAGGCGAAGCTGGTGATCCTGGTGATGAAGGTGAAAGAGGATCTACAGCTGATGGTAAAAATGGCCCTCCAGGTCCACCTGGCATAGATGGTCAGAAAGGTGTTCCAGGTGATACCACATATGGTCCTCCAGGAATCCCAGGCAACAGGGGACTGCCAGGACCCCCTGGTGCACAAGGAGCAAGGGGTGATCCAGGCATTCCTGGGCTTCAAGGTATGAGCCAGTTCTTTATGAAGCATTTCCATGTGTTTGAAGGAGAAAATCTGAGCAAAGTCGGTCCTGATTCAGATAAAACTTACTCTTACCCGGATCCATAATGGTGACTGTGAACGGTACATCCTGCTTTTACGTTTACATTTTTACAGTTAAGGTTGATCAGCCACTGAGGAGATCTGCACTGCAGAAAGGGGAAGGTGTGTTTACCCAGTCCATGGAGTAACAGTGCAGCTTCCTATTCTTACTACTGTTACTTGCTGCCTAGTGGCCATCTGTGCTTAGGGCCTCCTGCTCTGCCACACAGATAGTCCCTGCCTCAGATTGCTTATCAAATCTGAGAAGACTGGCAAAAGGTGGGAGAACAGTCAGGGAGAGAGGGCTGAATTTATTTGCCTAGAATTATACAATATAGTCCTCAATATCTTGGGCACTACTCTTCCCATTTCTGCAGGGGAGTTTTGCTGGTTGCTGCAGGTGTCTCCACAGTGCCACTTCATTCCCTCTTCATAGCAAATATTGCTGTTTCCTTTTACAGGTCTTCCTTTTTCCCAGCCCTAAGCAGACACCTGCCCCGGCCCTTCTGTGCAGGGAACACCTATAGAACTGACCCCAGTGCTGTGTAGCTGGTGCAGTCCAGTGAGCTCCTTCTGTTCTTCTCCTACACATCAGAAACTAGCTTTTTGTGCCATAAAGTTGTTCTTACCTATAGGTGAGAGTTGAATTCGTAATTGTTCCTTAAAGAAAGAAGCTCTCCACAACAGCCAATTCTAAATTGCAGAAAAGCATCAGTTTTCACAAACTAGAGCATAAGTAAGATATTAAAATAACTGAACATGTGAATTTCAAAATTACAATTAGGAATTCTGAAGGATGGCGAGTAATGGAAATAAAACATTTTAAAATGTTTTTTGTTTCCAGGACCGCCTGGGACTCCAGGATTTCCAGGTGCCAAAGGTTTTAGAGGCCCAGAAGGTGATATAGGAGCACCAGGCTGTCCAGGCTTCCCTGGTCCGCCATGTGACACAGGCTTACCAGGGCTACCAGGACTCAGAGGTGTCATGGGCCTGCCAGGACCTCAAGGTACACAACATCCATCAGGTTGCCTCACACCTCTAAGCTTTGCACATCTTTTCTAGCAGATTTAATCATGATTTTTGTGGCTGGCATAACAAATATTTCCATGGGGGCTGCTCATTAGTGGGGGTGTACATTGTGTTTTGCACATTTCCTTAAACTCAAGGAATGTATAGCATGCATCTCAGAAGTTTGCCAACTTTCCTTCCCTTCCCATACTGTTTCTTAACTGGCCAAATCTGTGTGTTCACTGTCAAGTAATAAATGGAAGAGTTATCTCTTGCTCTGTTGTCCTGAGTAACTTAACTGAGCTCCTGCCATTACTGTGATACTTTTATCTTCCTTATTCTTAAGTGGAAGTGTTATTTAGGGAGAGCTAGGAGACATATATATCGAAAGTATTTACAAATTAGTAGGGATTTTTCACAGGGCACTGCTACGGATTTGTCTCTCACTAAAGAAATACAAGAAAACAAACATTCCAGGTGAAAAATCTAGGCGGAGCCAGGACTCCAGCGTGGTAGCAAAGTTTCCAAGTTACTTTGCCATGTTTGATGATATTCAAATTTATACCAAAAAATCTATCACTTTCTACTTTTTAGATACAATTGCTGAACCCTTTTCCTGCATTTGCATACGTAGATTAAAGCTCTTTTTCTCAGGCTTACCAGGCTTTAAAGGTCAGATCGGAGACAGGGGCCTAGCTGGGCCACCTGGAATCAAAGGTCTCAAAGGCTCTCCTGGCTCACGAGGTCCCCCAGGTCCTCCAGGCTCCCGAGGACTTCCAGGACTTCCAGGCAATAAAGGACCCCCTGGTTTCCCAGGACAAACAGGTATGTTAAACATCCTGCAAACTACCTCATCTATAACTTCTTTTGTAAAGGGAGCAATTTCTACTTCTGTTAAAGCTAGGAAGTACTTTGCACCCTCCTCCCTTGCCAGCTTCGAGAGTAAGACCTTGCAACATGGTAGAATCAATAACAATAGCATCCTTGTTCTTTCTCTTATAATAAAAACAAAGGGATGAAAATAGTTTGATGCATCTTGGTGCATCCTGGTGCTTTAGTTGTTTTACAACACTGACATATTTCCATGTATTATTTCCTGACTATTTGTAATAGGTTGTTGTTATAAATATGCTATAATAAGAACAATATACTTTTTATTACATCCAGACTATCTCCTTTACTAATGCAGCCTGTGATTGTATGCTGATGAGTATTCGATTCTTGGAGAAGTAAGGAGGGGGGTCAGCAGAACGGCTACCTTGGAGTTCCAGAGGGCAGACTTTGGCCTGTTTAGGAGACTGGTTGACAGAGTCACAGAGTCACTTGGGACGCAGTCCTGAAGGGCAAAGGAGTCCCAGGAGGCTGGGCATTCTTCAAGAAGGAAATCTTAAAGGCACAGGAGCAGGCCATCCGATGTGCTGAAAGACAGGCCGGCGGGGAAGAAGACTGGCCTGGCTGAACAGAGAGCTTTGGCTGGAACTCAGGAGAAGAAAAAAAGAGAGCTTATGACCTTTGGAAGAAGGGACAGGCAATTCAGGAGGAACACAAGGATGTTGTGACATTACACAGGGAGAAAATTAGAAAGGCCAAAGCCCAACTAGAACTTAATCTGGCTACTGCTGTAAAAGACAATAAAAATATTTTTATAAATACATTAGCAACAAAAGGAGGGCTAAGGAGAATCTCCATCCTTTATGGATGCCAGGGGAATCATAGTGATAAAGGCTGAGATACATAATACCTTTGTTGCCTCAGTCTTTAATAGTAAGACCAGTTGTTCTAAGGTTACCAAGCCCCCTGAGCTGGAAGACAGGGATGGGGAGCAGAATGAAGCCTCCATAATCCAAGGGGAAATGGTTAGTGACCTGCTACACCACTTAGACACATACAAGTCTCTAGGGATGGATGGGATCCACCCAAGGGTACTGAGGGAGCTGGTGAAAGTGCTCACCAAGCCACTTTGAAGCATTTGTCAGCAGTCCTGGCTAACTGGGGAGGTCCCAGTTGACTAGAAGTTAGCAGATGTGACGCCCATCTACAAGAAGGGCTGGAAGGAAGATCCAGGGAACTACAGGCCTGTCAGTCTGACCTCAGTGCTGGGGAGGGTTATGGAGGAAATTGTCCTGAGTGCCATCATGCAGAACGTACAGGACAACCAGGGGATCAGGCCCAGTCAGCATGGGTTTATGAAAGGTGGGTCCTGCTTGACTAACCTGATGTCCTTCTATGACAAGGTTACCTGCTTAGTGGATGAGGGAAAGGCTGTGGATGTTGTCTACCTAGACTTTAGTAAAGCCTTTGACATGGTTTCCCACAGCATTCTCCTGGAGAAACTGGCTGCTCATGGCTTGGATGGGCATACTCTTCGCTGGGTAAAAAACTGGCTGGATGGCCAGGCCTGAAGAGTTGTGGTAAACGGAGTTAAATCCAGTTGGCGGGCGGTCACAGGTGGTGTTACCCAGGGCTCAGTACTGGGGACAGTTCTGTTTAATATCTTTATCAATGATCTGGATGAGGGGATTGTTGTGCACCCTTAGTAAGTTTGCAGACAACACCAAGCTGGGTGGGAGTATAGATCTGTTCAAGGGTAGGAAGGCTCTACAGAGGGATCTGGACAGTCTGGATAGATGGGCTGAGGCCAATTGTATGAGATTCAACAAGGCCAAGTGCCGGGTCCTGCACTTCGGTCACAACCACCCAATGCAGCGCTACAGGCTTGGGGAAGAGTGGCTGGAAAGCTGCCTGGTGGAAAAGGGCCTGGGAGTATTGGTCAACTGCCAGCTGAATATGAGCCAGCAATGCGCCCTGGTGGCCAAGAAGGCCAATAGCATCCTGGCTTGTATCTGAAATAGTGGGGCCAGCAGGACTAGGCAAGTGATCATCCCCCTGTACTCAGCTCTGGTGAGGCCACACCTCGAGTACTGTGTTCAGTTTTAGGCCCCTCACTACAGGAAAGATACTGAGGTGCTGGAGTGTGTCCAAAGAAGAGCAACGAAGGTGGCAAAAGGTCTAGAGCATGTCTTCTGAGGAACAGCTGAGGGAAGTTGGGTGGTTTAGCCTCGAGAAAAGGAGGCTGAGGGGAGACCTTATTGCTCTCTACAACTACCTGAAAGGAGGTTGTAGCAAGGTGGGTGTCAGTCTCTTCTCCCAGGTAACAAGAGATAGGACAAGAGGAAATGGCTTCAGGTTGCATAAGGGGAGGATTAGATTGGATATTAGGAAAAATTTATTTGCTGAAAGGGTTGTCAGGTATTGGAACAGGCTGCCCAGGGAAGTGGTTGAGTCACCATCCCTGGAGGTATTTAAAAAATGTGTGGATGTGGTGCTTAGGACATGGTTTAGTGATGGACTTGGCAGTGCTAGGTCAATGGTTGGACTTGATGATCTTAAAGGTCTTTCCCAACCTAAATAATTCTATGATTCTATTCTATGAGTAGATGGAGAAATAGTTTCACATCATGTCTAATACTTATAAAAAAATGTGAAATTGGTCCCAAATCATCACTGGCTAGTGGGCAAAAGTTCTGAGTAACTATAGCAAAATCCTGTTTTCCTCTGTCTCATCTGGACAGTACAGTAGGAGTCGTGATTTCCAGTAGCCACATGCAAAATCTGGTTGTGTCTTAGGCTATGCATTATGTTTAAGATGTGTGTGGGGGTAACTGCTGTAGTAGTAAGTGTAGCCTAAATGTCCAGGGGGTGGCAGCAGGGAGGGGGAAGATGTTTGCTTCAGGGCAATCTGGATTTCAAGAGAAGTTTGATCTTGACATGAAGCCATGCTCTAACTATTGGTTCTCTAGCTTTGCTGATTTCCTTAAGGAGTCCTTCTAAACTTCCTGCCTTTTGCTTTATACTCTTCCTTAGAATATGACAGCAACAGCATAGCAGACTGAATATATAAATAAAGCATTTAATATTACCAGGAAGCAAAGGGATTCAAGGACCCCAAGGATTCCCAGGACTCCCAGGAACACAAGGCCCAATGGGAATCTCTGGTGTAAAAGGTGAAGAAGGAAAAATGGGTCCACCTGGGCCTACTGGAGAATGTGGGGATATGGGAATAAAAGGTTTGTAAAAATCCACTTCACTCTGTAGTTATGTTACTGTTATGTTTAGTTTGTTACTATTGTGTTAGGAATATATTTACTTTTTCTTGTTGTTATAAGGGTATATTCACTTCTATTTTCAGAGATACTAAATACTAAATCCAGTTATCTCACTTATGAATGCATAATGAAAAATAACTAAAGAAAAATTAATTCCACTCAGATCAATAGGTGCATTTACCACTAAATCAAACAGAGTAAGATCTCTTATTCAAACAAACCTTGAATTTTGTCCTGTACGTATCTGAAACTTTAGATTTTTCAAGTTTTCTACCATATTTTCTGTGTTCTTCAATCTATGTAAAACATACAGGAAATAATCTCTCTAAACATTTACATAGGAAAGACAATAACCATCTCCAAGGTGCAGTCACAGACAGTACACTGTGGAGTGAACAATGCAATTGCCACCTTTCATATTCCAGACAAGCAAGGAATAATTCTGATTTAACATCACCTGGGTTACTACTGAATTAACTAAAAAGCAAGAGAAGGATAATAAATTCTGTTAGCAGTGAGCCTGCTGAAACAACTGAGAACTGCATTAGTATTTGAAGGCTTTCTCTGTTAGGGAGAGAATTATTTCAGGACATGTCACTCATGAGGATTTACTTACATTCCATATGTTTGGTTCAAAGGTGAAGGAGGACCTCCAGGAGACAGTGGCGGTGTTAATATCCGTCTTGAGAAAGGACAAAAGGGGGAACCAGGGTTTCCTGGTGAGAACGGATTTAGAGGTGAAAGAGGTAGGTTCATAAAATAAAGCCCTGCGTACACACACATTCATCTGATATAAATCACTGGTGTTTTTCACAGGTTTGGACTTGTAGCTGCAGTAACATCCAGCAACCTTATTGTGTTTATAGAGTCTTAAACTAACAGGCTAGTTTGTTTGGACAATTACTAAGGCAATACACAAAGTGTGAAAGCATAGCCATATTCAAAATAAGTGTCAAATAATGGCTTGACTATATCAGTCATTATCTTGTTCTGCAATTAACTTCAGGTGAAAAAGGTAATACTGGTTTCAGAGGCAACCCAGGATTTCCCGGGAAGAATGGTGTCCCAGGACTGCCAGGTGATCATGGTGACACTGGACTGATGGGGTTTCCAGGATCACGGGGTTTCCCAGGACCAAAGGGCTTTAAAGGAATTACAGGTTTTCAAGGACAACCAGGTGACCAGGTAAACAAAGTAGTAGTGAAATGTCCTGGACTTTGCAGTGACCTCCTGCCTCCAAGAAACGTGATGAAGGGTACTTCTATTGTACTTAGCCATTAGATGATCCGAGAAGAGACTTTCAGTATAATAGGAAGGGTGAATTCCTTAATGTAACACTTCAATGCTTTGATTACATTTTAGCAAGAACTGTAGTCAGAGTCAACAGAGGGCCTCTCCCCACTCTCCTAGCTGTATGTTGTGATTTTGTTATATTGCCACTTGATGGAAGTCAAGGCTACACTGCACTAATTAGGAGGGCAAAAAATGGATGCACAATCAAGTCTTTAACATTATTCCTAAGAACAGATTGACAAATCACTTTTTGCAGAAATCATAACATAGCATCAGCACAAGTATGAAATTAATATATAGCTGCTTCTTCATATCTTACTACGTGGAGCAGTCAAGCCAATAGACAAGACAAACTAAGTCTTCTGTGCGGATATTGACAACTTACACCAAACAGAACCCAGGCAAGCAATATGCTCAAGAACAAACATAAAAAAGTGCACATATATCACATAAGGATATAAGGTGAAATTCTTTACAGGCTTGTATGCTAAGTAGATAGGCAATGAGATAACATGAAGCATAAAGTACAGTTGGTTTCTGGTAAAGGGACGTATCTTTGCTTGGCTTGTCTTTTACTATATTTCTTTGAAGAGATAATCTGTGTTTTGCTCCTTATAGGTTATTATTCAAAAGGAAAAATAGAGAAATCTTTACATTTTTACTGTTGCATCACAACATATTTCTGGTTAATGTTTATAGTAAATTTTGGGTAACATACAACAATATTAGGTACATTTTTATAGTATGTTTTAAATCAAATTACTCAAGCCATCTGTGGGGAATTTAAGCTGTTCAAGCCAAGACTTAGCATAAACTATAAAAGCACAAACTCAAAATGATTAGCAAGTCTAATCTACAGTTTCTTGGAAGTGTTAGTGGTCAGTGTTAGACGTGTAACAAAGACAGCATGCTTTTCTGTTGAACCTAAGACATAGTTTTTCTATTCATAATGATTGCTAGTCTGTTTACCAGTGTAAGAGAACCAAATGCTCTTATAGATTGTTCTTGCCACACATATGATATGTCAAACATTTTCACTTTGTTTTTAAAAAAAAAATCAGGGTGACATTGGCTTACCAGGAATCCCTGGAAATCCAGGACTGACTGGCCCAAAAGGATCTAAAGGTAATGAGTTTATATAGACATGCTTTTATAAAGAGCAATACTGTTAGGATGTATATGCTCTGATAGATGGCAAGTACTCACTAGAAAAGGGAAAACAGGACAGAAGTGAAAATAATTGAAACATGAATATCGTTAGAAACAAGTCTGGCTTACCTGAAGGCAAAATTTGCATTTCAGTTTATTCTTTAACAGTTTGTTCCTTTTAAAGTAGGTGTTACTAATTTAGAAGATAAATTTGTGTCAAATTTCAGAGTTTAAAAATTCTATCAAACATGTCAAAACCCACTCTTATGGATCTGTAAAATTTGTCAACTCAAAGAAAAGAAAATGCAATCATTTAGGGTATTACAGTATGTTATTGTACGGATACATGGTATTTTTAAAATATTCCAATGTTCTTTATAATCTCTTTTATATAACTTATTTCCCAGTGTTTTCCAGGCTATGATTTTTGAATTCTTGGAACTTCTGAATGTGTAGCATAACAAATCAGGGAGAGTTCATACCCATGCATGCAAAATTATTCAGCTGAAAAGATGAAGTTTTGCATATTGTTTTTTGCATAGGTAGAGATTACTCTGAAAGATTTATCTATAATATTTAGATTTTAAAGTGCTACAAAGAAATACAAAATGGTGTCATCCATCATATTCCCAAATTTCATTGGAGCAGGATGTCATTACTGATAAATAATGAAATGAAATCATTGCCTGGAAAAAAGGATTAAGGGGACAGGAGAAATTGTTTTCTCAGTTATGTTTTCCATTTCTTCAAAAATTCAAGACCTTCTCAGCCAGGGAATAGATTCCCACAAAAAAAAAGTGAAGAATAATACTCAATATAAAGAGAACTTTCATTAAATGTATTGAAAACAAATTTACTGGAAAAATTATCCTTAAAACTAAAGCAGGAAATAGCCAGTAAAGGTGGGGATTGCTATGGCAGGGGATTTCTAGCAACACTTGAACATGATATTTCCTCTTAACTCTTCACAGCAAAATCAGACAATGAAGTTGGAGACAGCATGAATAGGTGGGAGAGGTCAGACATTTGTGCAGACAATGTAAGGCAAAATTGCTCAGAATTACTGATTCTGTGATAAACAGGAATTTCAGCACAGACAAAAAGAATAAGATGTGCTGGCTTAAAATCCCCAGGTAGTCCCTAAAAGGTCTTTACTGAGTAAATAGACACATGCTTTATTAATTTTGCACATCCTCACAAACCTATGTAAGGAGTTCTCTTTGTTTAATAAAGTGTAACAGGAAATTTATGCAGTATCTTTCATTTTCAGTATATGCTGTCAGTATTGGGAAAGTTCCCATAATTTTGGGGTTTAGTTTTGTTTTTTCATTATGGGAAATTTATATACTGCCAAGAGTCATACTAAACACAAGCTGAGTTAGTACTTCAAGACAAGCTGAGCTGGCAGATAATTTGCATGTGCCAAAACATTTTTCATTCTGTATTCTCTCAGTCCCTTTTATAGCTGTTAATATCTATGAGTAAATTATCTGATCTTACAAAATTGTCCAGCTTTGGTTTTGTGGATGAAAAGGATACTTGTATGAAATGAAAGTCATTGTACCTCAACAGGCAAGAGAGGTGACCCAACTCCTCTGCTTGGTACACATGGTCGAAAAGGGCCTCCTGGAGATCCCGGATTACCAGGTACCTCTGACTGAAGAAAACAATTGGACTTAAGAATTTTGTTAGTGGAGAGGGAACTCTGCTTCCTGTGCACATTAAGCGTTATTTTCTATAGTTATAAACCCAGGGATTGGAGAGGCATCACGGTCTGCAATATGGCTAGCATGAACATAGGAGGTAGAGCCTACTGTTGTCTAGTACAGCACTGATGAACATACCAATATACTTACCAGAATAAAACCTAGCTTGGCTATATCTTGCTCGCCATTTCTGCTCTTTCAGATACTGCCAGAGAGATCAGTATAATTAATTGTTAATAAATGCAAGGGTCTGAAGCATTTGAATAAAATTCTTCTTCTAGTCAAGAAACCCCTTACTGAACTTCTATATTTTTAAACTTATCATGAGATGATGAATGGACATCTTTAAACAAATAAATGCTAGATTACTTTTTTTCTTTAAGGACTCTGTGGATTCCCAGGAGAGAAGGGTTCACCAGGTATCCAAGGGCAACCTGGAAGACCAGGATTCAAGGGTGACCCTGGATACCCAGGAATACCTGGATTTCCAGGTAATGCCAAAGTTTTAAAAATAGTTCCATGTAACAGCTCAAAAGAGATATGGAACAGGAAAATGCAGCTAAGGAGGCACCTCTGTGGAGGAAGCTAGAGAAATCAGAGATCAGATGAAGGCATGTATTGAAAGCTATTTCAGTACCTATAGAGAGCAGCAGTAGTCTGCTCAGTCTCAGAGAGCAAGATCCGTCAATTCTTTATACATTCCCATACACTTTCAGGTACCTCTTATTAACGCAGTGTGCTCCATAGCGTGAAAAAAAAATCAGTTTAATAGATTTGCATATTCACAGATTTTTTTCCCACCCTCAGGAGCTACAGGTCCTCAGGGACTGCCAGGAGAACCTGGAGAAAAAGGGAAACATGGAATTTTGGGACCTCCAGGATTGCAAGGATTACCTGGATCCCAAGGCAGAAAAGGTAAACAGTACACAGTGCAGTTCTACTGGTAATGTAACAGCACCAGACATAAATACCCTTTTAGTAGTGAAAATGGAAAAGGCCTAACTGTGAGCATAATTTTGATTCTGTATTCTCTTAAACTACTAGAAGAATTAAGCCAGTTCCCATCACCTTTGAAAAGTAACATAAATGCTACCTCAGAAAATCAGGCTACAGTCTAAAATGAGTAAGGTAGAAACAGATTCTGGCTCAGCTGATGTAACTGATAGCAGAAGTTAAGGAAAGAAAAATGAGTTTGCAGTAATTCAGATGTTTCACTTCACTTATGCTGTGTTCTACCTTTTCACCATGGAGTGCCACTGTTACGCTACAAAACCAGCAGACTGCCATGGACAGTTTTGTCTTACAAATTTGTTTTAACAAACGGTGATAAGATAACTTGGGTTGGTTTTTGTTGTTAGTTTTGTTGTTTTGGTTTCTCCAGAAACTGATTTTGGTGAATTTAACATAGAAAAGTTTTGTCCGAATCCTAATTTATACTTCTCACAATGATTGTTATGTTTAGACTGAACAGCAGTTCATCTATACAGTTGTTTTTGTTGGAGAACATTATTAACTTATACTATACTCAGAATGATATATTGAAATTATAAGTTACATTAATATTTCATAAAGAAAGGTAATCAACTATGTACTTTGTATCCTCTCTCTGTTATCGTGTCCTTCATAACCAGTTCCTAGGCAGGAAGAATAGTATTAGTGACCCATATACAGAAATCACAGTAAAGTATCACCTGGGGCTATGAGAAAAGGTTAGAGAGGACAATAGATTCACTTTTTCAAATTCAGCCTAAGGAAAAATTGAGGTGGTTTCTTACAAACTACTGAAAATTTAAATAAAAAATGGAAACCGTTTATGATTACTTGCAGTAAATAAGTGGTGCTGATTTAAACTGTCATGACAGATTCCTTGCTGGTGCATAATCTGCAAGAGAACTGCAGTGACAGGAATGTCTAAATTGAGAGGGGTCAAAAAAACCAAAAAAGCACTCTTCTGATGAAAACTTCTTAGTAGCAGATGGACTCTTTCCTTCTTGTCGTAAGTGGTAAGACACTTCTTTTCTATATTGTGCAGAAGTTATCCCAAGTCCCGTGCAGGAAATACAATAAATTAACACATGCGCTGCAGAGGGAAAAGTTCAGTTCCAAATGGCAATTCGTTAGAGACCAAGTTGCCTGCTAAGCCTTAGGATTCTATATATTGCCAGCATAGTTGAAAACAAGGTTAACACCTTTGAAATTATACCCAGTAACAAAAACTGAATGGAATTTGTATTCCAATTCAGTTGGAGAATATAGGTCTTAATGCTATTTTCAATAATATTGTTGCTAGCATTAGAAGTGAAATGGTTAATTGGCTGTTCATAGCTAAGTACACGGCCTTGTTAGTCTAATTCCTTCCCATTTACATTAAATGTCTTGTGCCTGAAGAACTTTAAGATTAAAAAAAAATTAGTTAAACAGCATCTACCAAAGTATAATCACATTTTCTTTATTACAGAGATAGTTTTGCTAGTTAAGGGTTTAGTCTGGCAAGCCTTACTTGTTTGAGTAATCCTTGATGAAGTAAGTAATATTAAGAACATCAGCAGAATTACTTGTGTGAGTAGAAGCTGAATTGGGCTGTAAAATACAAAAACAGTGGTTCATAAATAGGTCAGCCAATTCAGCTGTACCTAGAAATATGGGACTATAGCAATCCAAAAATCTAGAATTACGAGAGCTGATATTATAATGGATTGTTGGCAAATGCGTCAGAAATTCCCTGGAAAGCAAGTAAACCAAGCTATCAATCTTAACTGAATGAGCTAAAGATCAAAAGAGTTTTAAATGGTGACCTAGGTGCCAAAAATAGTTAGGAATTCAGAATAATTTTAAAATACCACTGTTAAATTCCCCAAACTGGCATGCAACTCTTACATAAATTTGAAAATGGCAACATGCCCAAAGCACAAGGAGGCTACAGAAAGCATGACTGAAACTTAGAATGTCATGAAAAGTTAAAATGCAGTTAATTAAGAGCATAGAAGATATTACAGGTTGGATTACCAGTATCCCATAGTATAAAGGGGATTACATAGAGAGTATATTATCAATGTCTTGCAGGTTTTCAAACAATCGTCTGGATTTAAAATTTTTCCAGACCTGTGTTTGCTACAGGCTGGATTTTTTTTTTCCTTTTCATTCCTTTCTTAAATTTTAACTAAAATAATTCAACAGTTTCTAAGAACAATACTACAGGATTATTATTTTTGGTGTGTCTATTAGAAAACTCTAGTGCCCTTTTATTTTAACTTTCTCATATGATCCATCTTTAAACTAAGGACCTTTAAATTTGGCAAGTGAAGCAGCTGATGAAGGGCATTTGCACTGCTGTTCCTACAGCAATTTGTCCTTACCAAATTTGACCAGCTTATAAAATTTAAAAAAATACATCAATTCTTATGTGCTTCAGTAGAGCAATAAATTCTCCCATGATTTGTGCTCTGGATATACAGCAGATTTGCATACTACAGGACATGCTGGGATCAAGCACAGGAACTGAAATAGAGAACTTATATCTTCTATGCCAGGAAGTAGCTAGACAGGGAAAAGGAGACAGAAAGATAATTTAGATTTGTGGAAAAAAAACACTGCAACTGGACTGGGAATCGTACATGGGAGGGAGAGGAACTGGTGGAGAAGGAAATTAGGCAAGGACAAGCAGCAAAGGTGGGCACTGACAGTATTGTTCAACTTCTTGATGATCAGTGTCCACTCTAATCTATCCCTCTCTGGAGCAAGAAGCATCCCAAGTCTATTCCTCTGTCTGAAACTTCTTTGAAACCTGTTACCAAATGACCCATCACAGTTTTGCCAAATCTGTTCCTATCACCAGGTGATAGGCTGCTGTCTGCATTTAACAAGTGTACATCTTCACACTTGATAATTTATCTGTACAACTTAGGAAACTATAAAGTGCTAATGACATGGAGATATTTTTACCCTCCACTGCAAACAACAAACATGATCTCAGCTTAATTAATCTTTAAAAAATGGATAAAAAAATGCCATCAGTGTTTTAGCACTTTTTAAAAAGTCACAGATTATAAAGCAAAAGTTATATCTGACTACCATGAACACTCAGCCTGTGATCTGGTCATCTAGTGAACATCACTTGTGACAAAGCTGCTCTATACTGTCATATGTCAGCATAGGTCTCAATTACAGATATGTTGTCTTCAGAGACTTTGTGCTGTTCAGTTTAAAGAATTTTTGTAATAGTGTAATGCAAAAAAGCATAGTTTTCTGTGTGAAATCTGCAGGGCCAGGGAAAAGAAGCCAGGTGAAAATTTAGCTTCTTAGGACTAGTTAATCACATGTAGCAGTAGTAGTCTAGCCATAGACATGAGGTTCACCATAGAGTAAATTTGCCCATACTGAGCTTCCTGCTGCTAGCTGCAGTATAGAAATACCTAAAGGATTAAAAGGTATGTTTTCTGATTGCTTTGATGTGAAACTATATTATTGCTATTTTCAAATTTTTCACATTTTCCTTTCCAAAAGGACTGCACTCAGGTACAATGTGATCTCATCTTCAGTTGCCAATAAGAATCAAATTCAGCAAATACCCTGTCTTGATCCAGAATGTGTTGTCAGAAAAAAAAAAAGGCATCATTTTTAACTGTAACTTCAAGGGATTATTGTGGCACCTAGTCATGCCTGTAATACCTCTCAGGTCTTCCTGGACTACCCGGACTGGATGGCTTGGATGGACTAAAAGGTCAAAAAGGTTCTCCAGGAGCTCCAGGTAAAGAAGGGAAATAGCTATGTGGAACATAAAATCTTCTCTTAAATGACTGAATGTGCAAGGAATTATGCATGTTATTTTGATATTTGCCTTGCCCAGAAGATATCATTAAGGCTCAGACTAAACTTTCAAACAGAATCTAAAGTATACCTAATGACAAACCTGCAGTTATTTGTAGGGAAAACTTTAAAACTTCCATTACTCATATAGTTTTGTTGGAACCTTTCAAGGCTGTTTATAAAATGAAAATTTTCAGTACAGATGATTCAAAGGAGAGCCAAGACTCCAGGATTTTTATATGTAAACGATAAAACTTAACAAATTAAATGGAGACATATGAAATCCCAGCCCCATTAAAGTCCATGGGAGTTGTGCCACAAAGTTAAGAGGAACCTGGATTTCGCTCATGCCGATCTATTTGCAACTTTTAAAAGGTGCTTTTGAAGCAGTATTAAAAAACAGTGCTCATCATCTATCTGGGGATTACAAATTTATGCTGATAGAAAATTAAATTTAGGACCATGCAATCAGTTTACATTTCAAGTTACGGACAATAATGACACCATATAAAATAAACCCTAAAGAGCATTAAAGCAAAGAGATTACTTTCTTTGAAAGGGATGAACTAGGTCCAGATTCAACAAAACTGTATCCAGCTTCCAAGAGAGAACCAGAAAAACAGCACTAGGCAACCCTTGCAAGGACGAACATCTGCAGCTGGTATTTCTATTCTGCACATCTGTATTTGTACTCAGTGTAAGCTTTATGTACATAATTGTTTTCCTATAAAGGTCAAAGTGAAACAGGGTCCCCAGGATACTCAGGAGAACTTGGACCAAAAGGAGACAGAGGTGAACCTGGATGGCCTGGTATTTCTATTCCAGGCCCCCCTGGAGAAAGGGGATTCCCAGGATTCCCAGGTAAGAAAGGGTGTTTTCCTTAGTGGTGCCCTGCAGAGTTGAAATTAAGCTCATACAGGTTCTTGCCCTGGTGAGTATGGACATTAATACATACCCAGAAGATTCTCTC